CTTAAAAGAACAAATTCTTTTGAATGAATAGGATGCAGAAAAATTCTTTAATAAATAAATAAAATAAAGTAGAATTATATTCGGTCGAAGGCAGATTGTTTGATATATATGTACGAAATTGCATTTGAAATCATTTTTCAAATTTGCCACTAATTCTTTCCACAGCATTCAAACCAACTTCCAACTATGTATGTTTTCTTACACACCGCATAATTTGTTCTGTGAAATGAATCCAATCTTTTGAGCTCTCACGATGCTTTCGCATATAAAGTTCCAATCCATAAATAAAAAAAATGAATCAGAGGATTCTTATAGTGATCGGCGGTGCAAAAATATGATAAAAACTGCTAATTCTCAACCTTTACACAAAAAGTTGCATATATAAGATTTTATAAGTTGTAAAATTTTTGGTAATGGTTGCATCCGTTGATTATCCGGGTGTTTGAATACTTGGTCAATCAATAAAGTTCAACACCCGGATAATCGGTCAGTCAATAAAATTCAACATTCTGATAATTGGTCATTCACCGAATATCTGCCGAATATCCGCCGAATATTCATTGATTTAAATTTATTTAAAATCTAATACAAAAAATATAACAATTAATTATTCATCAGGAAAAATATTTTCAATACATTGCATATTGCTTTAAGAAATACAATTCTTCCAAATAACAATGGATTCAATTTTGTTCGTTTGGCTGTCATTGTGTTTCCAGCTTCACTAAATAGACGCTCACTTAGAGTAGAAGTTGCTGCAATGCATAAATATTTTTAACTAATAATAATGACACAGTTGGGTATTCATATTACTTGATATATTATATTATTATAATAGAAAAAATGTTGATGATAGTGTATTAATGGATAAAATAGTATTTCATTAATTACGCGGGATATTCCCAACTAACCGGATAATCGGCGGATACAACCACTAAATTTTGGTGAAAAGAATAATGGTAATGTTAGAAGTCAATGTAATTAATTAACTAAATAAATATAAATATTTTCTCATGAAACAAAATTTTTAACGTTTCCTTTTATTATTTCTGTTACTGGTTTTCATTTTAAATTTCATTGACATTTTAGGTTTTATTTTTTTAAATTTCTTTGACTTATTATTTCTATTATTCTTATTATTTATATTTTTCTTATTATTTATATTATTCTTATGATTTATATTCTTAATCTTATTATTTCTATTATTATTATTCTTCTTATTAATACCATTTCTATTCTTATTATCATTTCTACTATTCTTATTATCATTATCATTTCTTTTTCTTTTTTTAATTGGAAATTTATCTTCTTCCTCCTCACTATCATCATCATCATCATCATCATCTTCTTCTTCTTCTTCTTCACTATCTTCACTATCATCATCATTGTCGTCATTACCATCAATATATTTATCCATATTATCAATAGTTTTATTAAATGAGTTATTATTATGATTATTATCATCTTCTATATCTGAAAAATCTTTATCTAAATCATCACCATCATCACCATCACCATCATCATCATTATCATCAGTTGAGCTGTCACCATCTTGATAATTACCACTATATTCTTTTGGTACTACTTCATAATTATTTTTATCCTTTGATGTTTCTTTTTGTTTTCCTAATTCAAAAATATATTAATTAAATTACAAATTAAAATTATATAAAATATATATTTGTCACACCTTTAGCTGCTGATCCACTTGTTGCTAATCTATGGGCTTCCTTTTCTAATTTATTTCTTTCAACATTTTTTTCTTGTTCTTTTCTTCTTGTAGCTTTTAATTGTTTACGCCTTTCTCTTTCTTTCTCCATCATTTTGATTTCTTGTGGAGTTTTATGCACTGTGTGTATAATATATATATCATGTAAATTTATTGAATAATTCACTAATGAAATTGGAAACAATAAATTAACATACAAAATTCATGAAACAAAATTTCTCCATCACATAATCCATTTTGTATTTTAATTAGTTGTAATTCCATCCTAGGTCCAATCT